CGTCTTCAGGCTGAGCTGCTCTGTATTTTCACTGAAGCAAAATGTAAGCATTTCAAAAATAACTACATGTCAAATTCTTCCCTGAGTTAAGAAGGTCCTTTCAATAGCAACTAGGAATTCTACACAATGCCAGTGATCTGTAACTATCTATATGCAGAAGCCAGTGTTTTCCAAGGTTGTATCAGTGCGTTAACCCAGCAAGTTCACAGACACTACTGCCTGAGACTTAAGTAAAAAACAAACCAAGTGAGCAATCAGATGGGTGTAGATGCCCAAGCCCCTAAACAAACAAAACCACACACTTGATTCTGAGGTTGGAAAACTCTGCTATAGAGGGAAAAGTTCAAAACACTCTTGAAGAAAGGATGTTAACCCAATCTACCTTTTATCTCCTTTATTCGACACATATTCACAAAGCAAGACACTATTCCAAACACTGACGATTCCGCAGTGCATCAAATAAGTCTCATCTCCTGGAACCTGCCTTCTAGGAGGAGAGAGACCACAGATGAGCTCTGGGACAGGGAGTGTCTTCACCTCTGTGCTGCCAAAAGAGGCCCAGACTGTGGTCTCAGTGTTCTGTATGCCCACTGCCCCGCACCTCAAGTGTGCACCATCCCACAACAGCCAACACCACCAGACCACAACCTGTGTCTTTTAGCTCAAATATAAAGGGTGGAGGGTGGCGGAGCCTGCGTCACCAGTTAGACCCCAAGACCTGACCTTTACTGCCCATCTGCTTGTACCCACTGACCTTCATCCCACATTTTTCCTGAAGCTCTTCTTTCCAGCTGATCTCTTAACTCAGGCAAAGACCCGACAGGTAAAGTATTTGGTGATGGAGGCTGAAACTGCTCCCCCCACCCCCAGGCAATATCAACTGCTCAGACCACCCGGACCAGTGAGTGGGAGCTCAACCCCCGACTCAAGGACTCACACCTGTGCAGATGGGACCACGGAGCGGCCCACAGTTACCCTGACCTCACTATAATACTAAGACCTCTGCCCAAGGAGGAGCACAAGTCTTTCCTTAAGGCACATGTGTGACTTTATGCCCGCCTCTACATATAATGACAAGCCTCCCCTGAGTATTCATCCTAACCCTAAATAAAGGAATCCATCCATTCTTGCTCGGGAGTCCTGGCTTTGGAAGTTATTTCCTGTGATCTCCTTATTGGCTGCAAATAAAGTTTTCTTTGTGCGACAGCTTACCTGGTGCAGTTTCTCTGTGTGACTCACTGAGAAGTGAACTCAGGTCTGTTCAGTTAGCACAGGTCAGGGGACAAGTGGTGGTGGATCACTGAGGGGGCCCCAGGGGCAACCAGCCTCCATCTCTGGATCTTTTAAATCTTTGGAGCCATGACTTATGGGAGACACTGGAGAGAAAGGATCAGGGCAAACCTACCTTCTTGGGCCAGCCTCTCGTGGAGGGCTATGGGGGAAGCACATCCCCCCAGAGAAGGCCAGGTGGCTTGCTTTGGGGCAGGCCCCACAAAGCATGTCGCCTGGCAAAGAAGACTAGCCCACTGACACGAGATACTAGAGCTGCACAGAGATAGTTATCTTTCCAGGGACTACATTCCCCATCCATTGGCAGCAGCTGTTGTGGTAGACTGTAAAAAATGGCCCCAAATTGCTTGGCACTCCTCCATCAAAGTAGCTCTATTGCTCCCCAATCTCAGAATCGGGGCTTGCCTGCTGGCTTGCTTTGATCAGTTAAACATGGTGGGAGCTATAGTGCATGAATCCCAAGCCTACAGGTACCTCACAACTTCCACTCTTGAGAACATTTCCATCACCATGCAAATAAGGCCAACCAGCTCCTTGGAGGGCGATATTCCAAATGGAAAGAGGTTCCAGTTGGGGGTACCAGACATGGAAGACATGCCACCCTAGACCACTAGCCCCTCTAGGCCAGCCCAGACCAGAAGACCCTCCCAAGCCAACATTCAAACATGCATTCAAAATTTGTTGTTTTAAGTTACTAGGTTTTGGAGTGGTTACTTAGCAAAACCAACTGATATGATCGTAGAGGACAGGGTACTTGGAAGCTGAATACAAATAACTTACAAAAATATACTGAATTTTAACTCTTCCTAAAAGGTATGCCATTGGTGGGTAACACAATTCAAAAAGTAGCCCACCCAACTCACGGTATGTGGCAGCAATGTGATTCTTTAATTTCTGACTCTGCCAGGCTTATCAAAATATCCCATGGAAATGAATATGATGGTTAAATCTGATTAACAGAAGCAACTATAGGGGCCAAGAGGAGGCCACCCCAGAAGGGCCACTGTGGCATGAACATTATTTTGAGTTAAAGGCAATCAAAACCCAGCAGATTCAGGAAAAGCTCTTTACTGCCCCCTTAACGGCCTGCCCATACCAGGGAGAGAGCTATTAACAGACTCCTTTTCACCTGAGACACTTCTACACGATAGGCAACCCCTATTCCCAGACCTCTCCTCCCCCCTCCCTGCTAATGGTCCCTCTCCCCTTTGTGTCCCAGACCCAACCCCTCTCCTGTGCTCCTATAAGCATCACATTGCCCGACTATGTTTGGAATTTCCTTATCTGTGCATTCCCTGTACGTGTGCTATGAGGTTTGACTTTCAGTTAATCTGTCTCATGTCAATTTGATTCTTTGTCCAGCTAGAAGGAGCTGGGAGGGCCAAGGAGATTCTTCCTCCCCGACACAACAATCTCAACTTTGAGAAGCTCTAAGTATGTTGAAACCTTTACAAAATGCCACTTCTGAGTTCCTGATGTATAAAGTGACCCAGACACTTAGTAATACAATAGTGTGTATCTTGGAGAAGGGTTACATCTTATTTATGACTCAATAATAAATGTATGCTTTCTTCTTTCTTGTGTTAGTTGTTAAAGACCATTAAGCAGGACAAAAAAAGAGGCTTTGAAAAAAAGCTTTAAATAGTTCAGTTCTTCCTGTTCTTTTCTCCTCTCCCATCCCTCCTTTCCTTTCTTTTAAAAATTTTGAACCTTTTATGAGCCTAGACCGTAGTGGGTGTGTTTATCAAAGGATGGGTAGATGGTGGAAACTCTTGCGAGCATTTGGCTGGAGGAGATTTGGGAGCCCAACTAACCTCCCAGATCTTTAACCCATTTCCTACAGGTGACTTACAAAGAGCACCAAGAAGAGCTAGGAAATGCTGCCAAAGAGAGCCAACAGCCAACCACTAGCTCTCCAGGGTTCAAAGGCTGCCTGTTTTGGACTACCTTCCTGGCAGAGGCTGCCTCTGGCAACACAGGAATGACTTGGGAAGTTGGGACAGATAGGTCCTACCAGTTTTAATTACTACTGCCCTGATGAAATGGTATTCGATTTCCTCCTCAAATAAGACTTAAAAGAAGCATTCAGGGTCCCTTGAGTTCAGATACTATGAATCTATGCACTAGATACTTGCAATCAAATACTCAAGCAAGAGAGGCCAGAGAGGCTGGTGTGCCCAGGGCCCGAGGCAAGAGGACCGGAGGACAGCCCTGACTTCCAGCCCCACTCCACGACCCGCTGGGTCACTATGTCGCCCCCCACCTTACCTTTTCCCATGCAATGTATTTTGCAATTAGGCATCACCAGAGCCTAGAGGTTTCCTTTAGGCTCCTCACAGCCTGGCCCCTACCTCAATAATCTCATTTTCTGTGTAGCATCCTGACTTCTTGACAGACATCCTGAGCACAAATAAATCTCCTGGTAAAGTTTAAATTCATTCTCTTGTCCTTCCTTTTATGACATTAAGAGCAGAAAAAACTTCTAAAGCTATTACTTTAAACCAATATGAAAATATTAGAAAAGAGAACATATTTATGCATTACATACAAAATAAATAAGTAATTTTTAAAAATCACAATCATTCTAATGCCATTTAGAAAACCAGTGTTTTCTAAAGTATTATGTGTGTCTAAGAAGTATTATTTAAATATATTGGGGCACCTGGGTGGCTCAGTTGGTTAAGCGACTGCCTTCAGCTCAGTTCATGGTCCTGGAGTCCTGGGATCGAGTCCCGCATCGGGCTCCCTGCTCAGCAGGGAGTCTGCCTCTCCCTGACCCTCTTCCCTCTCATGCTCTCTATCTCTCATTCTCTCTCTCTCAAATAAATAAATAAAATCTTAAAAAAAAAAAAAAAAAATAAATATAGATACACTTACATACAGTTACACAGTTTTGTTATATTCGATGGTTTTTACCAACCTTACCAGTGCAATCTACTTGGGAATTTTCAAAATAAAAATGTTATTACTGCTGATAAACAAATCCTATGCTAATACTATGCAGTACTGCCTGCACGGTGAGTGCTCGGTCCTCTCCACGGCTGTCCTGAATGCTCGGGCCTCACCACAGCCACCCTGAGAAAGGGGGCTATGATCACCCCCATGTTTCAGATGAGGAGCTAACCCACCGGGAGGCTAACTGCCCCCCTGCACCTGGGCAGAATGGGACAGAGGCCATCTGGGTCTGGCTTGTGCTCTATAGCATTCAGCCAGCCTTTCAGAAGAAGAATGGAAAGTCCATGTTGTATCAGAATTTTATTTTAAATTCTTAAAAATATTTCTTTTTAAAGATTTTCTTTTAGAGAGAGAGAAAGAGAGAGAGAGCGCGCACGCATGCACACGCACATGCGCACAGTTGGGGAAGGAACAGAGGGAGAGAAGCAGACACCCCACTGAGCAGAGAGCCTGACCCCAGGCTTAATCTCATGCCCCTGAGATCATGACCCGAGCCGAAACCAAGAGCTGGACGCTTAACCAACTGAGCACCCAGGTGCCCCCATATCAGAATTTTAAAGGACAGGAGAATACCACTTTCCAAAATAAAAGAAGAAACCCAGATCCACTATTTGCAAGGATCTTAGTGTTACCAAAGTCACTCTTGGTCAGCCTGATAAATAGGCAAAGTCTGATCAGCAACATGGACTGTGATGCATAATACTTGACTTTCAGAAGGTATAAGGAAATATTCTTCCAAACATTATACTTCTTACCTCAATGTCAAATATTTCCATAGTGTTGTCCAGCAGCTTCACTCGGATGTGAAGATGCTTCTCCTGCATTCTGGCTGACGCCCGTGCCACTGTTGCCGAGAGAGTCTGCCCAGGCTCGAGGGTGCTCACCCCTGCTGGGGTCTGGGTGCCCAAGCGTGTCCCTGGAGTCTGCAGGACTCTGTATGTTCCTTCTATCTCTCCCATTCTTCACCAGCTAAGAATGAAGATTCCTCTAAAACAAACAAACAAAAAAAACCCAAAGAGTGATCAATAGTTATTTAGGGGGCACCTGGGTGGCTCAGTCATTAAGCATCTGCCTTTGGCTCAGGTCATGATCCCAGGGTCCTGGGATTCAGCCCTGCATCGGGCTCCCTGCTCGGCGGGAAGCCTGCTTCTCCCTCTCCCGCTCCCCCTGCTTGTGTTCCCTCTCTCGCTGTCTCTCTCTCTCTGTCAAATAAATAAATAAAATCTTAAAAAAAAAAAGTTACTTAGATATTAAAACAATGTAAAAAAATTATCAGGTGCACAGGAATTCTCTGCTCTATTTCTGCAACTTCTAGAGAATCTTAAATTACATCAGAACAAAGATTACCTTCCACTCATACATAGATGGTGGAGCACAAAATACCAGGCACCGTTCCGAAAGACAGTATTTCCTGGTGCTTCTGCGAGCCAGGCAGTGTGTCACCTCACTGAACTCACAAAACCTCATCCAACAGTGGCCTGTTCCTTTGTCTGGCTGCCTAGAGTCCCCTGGCACACCCTACCTCCACCGGCCCAGAGAGTCAGTGTGCTGACCACACACTGTTAAGTGCCTGATGGTACATTTCAGCAAAGAGGAGCAGGTCCCACACACACCAGGCAGCACATGGCTGTGGTGGGGGGTGGGGGGCGAAAGCCAAGAACAGCAGTTGAGTACAGCCAGGCCGCTCTTGGCCAGCTCTGCACTCCCTGGTGTTTGAAGTGGGGTCTTACCAGGCTGGACAGATGCCGTCAGAGTGACACGAGGACCACACATCTGGTGTGAGGAGCACTTGCCCCAGGCCAGGCCCTTCCCAGCACCCCTTACCCGTCCTCACAAGGTCCTTGTTCTCCTCACCACCCACTGCCCGCTGAACACATGACAACACCGACAGCCCAGCGAGGCACTCATGCCCTTTTCCATCCTCCATGTTGTGCCATGGGAAAGGTCTCTAGTTTTAGGCTATGAAGTTGAACAGAGCTAATCATGTTATTGTTTTTAACAAAGAAAGAAGAGGCTAAGTATCAGCTAGAATCTAATAATACTGGCTTGCTTTTCTTTGTATTAATATAGTTACCTTCTATTTATGGCAAATTTCCTTCTTAAAGGTGTGTATTTGTGTTTGAAAGTCAATTTGAAGAAAAATATTTACCAGTAAAATATAGTGTAGCAAAAAACAAATGCCAGAGGTTTATTCAAGAAAGAATGGAGCTGCTACAAAAACTATTTTATTTCACTCACTTGCCTTTGGCAAGCCTTCTACTAATTTGCAGTAAACTTCATAGAGAATCAATCTCACTAATTTCCAATCCATTCCCTCATGCGCCAACCTAACTGCTGAGTCCCCTGACCCTTTCACCTTTTTCATGCTTATTTTGTTACCAAGAAGAACCATCTCAGGAACTTCTGTCTCTTGAATTAAGTTTAAAAGCTTCTCATCACCCACCAAGCAACCTCTGCCACACACTTAAAGCCTACCCAGCAAAGACAAGGCTCCCAGCCACGTAAGCGAGAACTTCCACACACGTGTGATTTGTCAAACAAGCAGCAAAACACAAGAAAGCTAAAACCCCCGGGGACAGTGAACTGGTAATGGAGCGAGCAAAATGACAAGGCGGTTTGTGTTGTTCTGCCAAATACACCTCCGGCCCCCACTCCTGCACATGATGGGCCGCCCCTCACAGATAGACACGTCTGGTTCAGGTTCGTAGTTATCTGTGATCTCCGAATTCTCTCTCCAGGTTTTATGTGCCCCGATAGCAGGAACTAAATTCCTACTGTGAATGTTTGCTAAGTGTTTACTGAATTCATGGCACTGGCATCGAAGAGCAGGAACTGCCTTGTTAGGCAATGCACTGAACAGACAGGAGCAGCGAAAGACAAAGACCGTGGTCACCAACAGAACACACTAGAAGATCACTAATATTCAACATGGGATATGGGAGGTTATGAGAACCATAAATATGACGTTTTTCATTTCAATTTCACAAGTGAAAAGTTAATGCAAAAGTGAAGGAAGGTGAGCGAAGAAGATTCCACCTGCAAGGTGTCTCCAATGTGCAAACAGATGAGCGTGAGTCCTTGGTCTGCTCACAGTATTTAACCAAGACTGAAGCACCAAGAGCAGGTCCTTCTGAAGGAACCATGGGATGTTTTACCCTGGGCACCAAAGAGACTCTTCCCCTTTAAGTAAAGCTACAATTCTGAAAATATATATACAACCAAAACATTTTGAATAGCCACTTCTCTTATTTATTCTATTGTATATTCTCATTTAGGTTTTTTTCTTAATAATTTTAGATGGAAAAAATTTCTTCAGGTTCTTTCCCTTCTCATTGTAAGAAAGTCCTAAGCACATACTTCTAAAACAAAACGGGCAAAACTCACCCACAGCACCCAGAGGGGCACATTTGGGTGAGCATGCTGTATGAAGAGCATGCAAGGGGAGATTCAAATTAGAAAAGTCAGGAGAGTGGACCCCTCTAGGTGGGACGGGTTCCGTCTCTGGGATGGGGTACCAGGAAGGGCCCTCTGGCGTGGCTGGCATGGTTGTATTTCTTGATTGGAACCGTGTTCACTTTATTATAATCCATCAAGCCATATATTTGATTTGTGCGGTTTCCCAAGATCTGTGTTTGATACTAAACATATTTAAAATAGCATACTTTTAATTTTTTTCTCTAAGAAAAAGAAAAATATTAGACAAATGAAAACCACTTCTTGGTCCACGAGAGACCTGTGCAGGTCCACATGCCTTCTCAGCAGCAAACGGACTTCCTGGTGATTTTCATCTGGTCCAGGGACCTTAATGTGGCTCGAGCTGAGACTCAGGGCCACGAGACACTCTCACTCTGGAGGCTCATTGAGGAAATGATCCCAAAGTACCCTACTGCTGATGTTCCAAAGAAAAGCCATTTGCTGTTGCATAATGGTAATGTGGCATCAAGCACACATTTAATAATTACTTGCCTTTAAGTTTAAGAAATCTAGGAAGTAAGGAACCTAACAGAAAACTGGCATGGAATCCCAATGCCTGAGTATTAAGCCTGCTCTCAAAGTCTATCAGTCTGCTTTACAACAAGCAGCACAACCGGACTCTTGGGGAGAAACACAAGGCCACTCCCTCAAAGCAGTCATTTGCTGCAGCCTGGCTGGTCACGGGACAAGATGAAAAATGCATGCACTGAATGAATCTGTTTTACGTAAATTATGACCTGACAGAAATTACTTTGTTTTGCCTCATGTGCTTATAAATAAATATTAAAAGGGCAAGAGTATGCAAGACAGATTAGAAACACAGGAGGTGTTCTGCAGTCCTGGGAGCCCTCCACGGTAGACGTGAGCCCCTGTGCACTTTTCCTGCTGCCAGAAAACCTCTCTAGAAATCCAGAGGGAAGCAGTGGTGTGAAGAACCAGGGCCATACAAGGGACTACAGTTTATTTTCCCATGTTCCTTTCATGTGAATGAAATGCCTTGCAGTCTTCATTCCTAAAAATATTTCTGTAGCTTGACACAATTTCCACTACTGACATTCAGTGCTACCTACTATAAACTCAGCTCCTAAACTCATTTAGTAAAAAATTTAAAAACTACCTTGTCACATATTTCCATCTTGAGGTTGGAAGATTCAGCTCAAAAGTCTGTGAGGGCTTTGGGTGATGACATGTCAATGCAGGTTGTAACAAAGGTGCTTCTGTGTGTGTGGGGGGGTGGGGTGTTGACAGTGGGACAGGCTGTGCATAAGAGGGACAGAGGCATGTGGAGATCCCTGCACCTGCAACTCAACTTTGCTGTGAACTCAACATTGCTCTAAAAAATAAAGGCTATTAAAAAAAAAAAAAGTCTGCCACGGAACACATAACTCAGAAGTGACAGAGCCAGCCTGGACTTGGCCACGAAGCCTCCTCCCTGTCTACTGGAAAATCTGGCTTCCCAGACAAAAGCACAGTCCACGGTCCACAGTAAAGCGAGTGGGTTCAAAATTCTGTTGTGCAAAAAAACCTCCCACCTTCCTTGAAATATTTTCAGCTGCCTCTTTCAGAAGGATCATCAAACATATGTCTATACTTTCCAACTAAGAAAGCAGAACATGACGCTTAGTTTCACTGCATTTTTCTAAGCACCTACAATGCACGCCAGTGTCGGCAATGAGTGTTCAGAGTTCTCAGCTGGCTCCTGGGCCCTGGGCTCCTTACCTCTTCACCACAGCACAGCAAAGACAGGTGCTTTTATTCCCTAACAAGCATGACTGGTGGTTTTTGAAACAAGCAACTAAATACTTAATCAATGTAAGGAATCAGAGAAAAAATGTCAGAACTAGTGCTGTAAGGCAGTGCCTCAAAGAGCTGAGAAGAAACGGCTAGCCAGATGGAGGGCAGGCAGGCCATCTACACCCATGTGCTGCACAAACACACCTCTCCCCCAGAATGCAGCTCCACTGTCCCCTGGAAGGCGACATGGTCGGAGCACCACAGAAATGGCGTTTGGCGCTGGAAACCTGGGGAGAAGGGTGCTGCAGAACTCATTCGTACACGCTGCCCCAGCAGGTGCTCTGGGATGCTGCATTACCTGTGGGAAGCCTAAGGACCAATGAGGACTTGAATCCCTGGCATCGTTGTCCCTCAAACGTGAGGAAGGGCAGCCCACAGTGGCAGCAAGGTGTCCACCGAGCTGGGATAAAAAGGCAGGTCCTGTGGGAAACAAGGAAGCGCACAGCAGCAGCCTGGGGGTAGAAGTAGGAAGGCAGCACACCTGGGATCTAACTTCAGCTTTCACTTCCCCACTCTTGGCCCAGATTTTATTCTGGAAGATGACAGGGGAAGACTGCGGTCAATCACATCCTCTTCACTCTAAGAATCTGTGAGTCTGAGAAAGCTCATTGTGAAAGTGAAATGAAAGGAAATGTGCTCTTGATTCCAACTAATTTACTGTATTTAGTAGCCAAAAATTAAGTACCTCATAAAATCCTGTTCTCCCATCTTTCCTATCT